AAAAAAAAAAGACTTTTAGTAATTAGCAACAGTGTTCATTTAGGGCACCACTCTTACACTGGGTGGTGGTCTAATAAATGTGTGGAGCACTAGGGTTTCTGATTAACTTCCTGTAAATATGTCCATCACCTGCAGTTTTATTACATTTTCCCATGCTGAATATCTCAAACAAGTCGCTCTAAGAACAAAAATGAAGAGATTGCTTTTAAATTTAGCCGTTTCCTCAAAAACATCTGAGCGGGTGTTTGTTTGCATTGTGACTTCAAGATGTCAAACAGCTCAGCTCAGAAGCCAGCTTCTTGGCTTGGCTTCTGCTTTGACCTTTAACCTATAAAGTAACCTAACACTAATCTCTAATCAAAAATGTAAAGTAATTCTACACCTGAAACCAAAACTGTGAAGGGTACGCTGTAGGCCGTGGATTTTTCAGTATTTTGAAGATTCTTTCTACCTGAGCTTGGAACCCATCTGTTCATAACACAGATAAAATCATGAGAACACATACATAAAAAGACACGCTTAAATCGCACAAATACAGATTACAAAAAGTGCTGATCTTTGGGGGTGAACAGGCCACACACACACACACCCTAACAACCGTCCACAATAAGTAAAAACGACATCTGTGTAAATCTGGCCACACACACACACTCAGAGACACACACACACCGGCTCTATTGTTGCATGTAAGGGTGAGTCAGACCCTATCAGTGAACCCAAACAATAATAAAGTGGACCAGTGAAGTTTAAGGAATGGAATGCCAGTCAGTCAAACACAAAAGCACAGATAACGCCAAAAAGCCCCAAATTTCACACAAATTTACAGAAATGGCATGAGAACCCACAGTCTTACAGGATACGGATCTGGAGGCTTGTGTGTGATAAAAGAAGTTTCCTTACAAAAATATGAGACTTGTAATTCACTGCATCGTAGCAAGCACAGCTTAATCTAATCTCTACCTCTTTCTCGGAAGTGAAGATTTTAACTTCAGAAAGTCATTAAAAGATATCCAACATATATGACAAATTACTTGTTGTACAAAAAAGTAATTTCCTCATTTTAAGAAGAACCCACTAGTAGTTTTTGTGAAATTCTTTAGAACCAAGTCTTCAGTACGTCATCATGATCGCTAACTTTTATCTCTTGACTGGATGAAACACAGATGATTTTGCTGTTAAAAAATGTATGTAACCTCCTAGGACCTGGCGTCCACATATGTGGACATCACATTTTGGGTTATTTAGACCAAAATACTAAATTTTGCTCATAAGTGGGCCTGATATCCACTTATGAGGACATTATACTGCTACTGTTCTTTCAAAATTTTAAATGAATATCCTAATACGTGGCTCTTATTTTTCCTAAAAACAAAAATAGGGTAAAAAAAATCTGGTAATTCTTTGTTTTTACATTCATCGGGCCCCAATATGCCCAAATATCAAAGAGAAATTAAAAATGCATGCTGTGGAAGAGTTCAGGTCTTAGGAGGTTAATGTAATTTGTAGAGCAGGTGAAGCTCAGTTAGCCACCCATCAATCCATCTATTTTCTCCTATTTATCCCACTCACAGTCATAAGGAGCTGGCGTTTATCCCAGCTGTCATAGGGTGAGAGGTGTGGTACACCGTGGACAGGCTGCCAGTCTATCATAAGGCTATCATGGAGAAACTGGTAAACATTCACACCTATGGGCAATTCCACATTATCAGGCTCTCTAACAAGCATGTCCTTTGGACTCCAGACACAGGTCCAATTCCACACAGGAAGGGCCCAGCGGGCTGGTGGAGTCAACCCTCGGACTAGAGCCTGACCGATATAGGAATTCTAAAAGTGATACTGATATTTGGTGAGTTAAAAAATCAGATATATTAGCAGATTTTTTTTTCTGATACATGAAACAAACAGATTTACATAAATTTCATACATACATTTCAAACATATTGTAAACAATGAAGTTACAAAGGGCCCTCTGGTGGACATACTATGGTTGAAGGGATGCCTCTTCTATTTCTTTATTACCGTTTTAAATATTCATTTATTAACAGTTATAAATGCAGATACAGCTATGTCTGCTGGACTCTTACCAGGACCTAACTAACCACAACACCAACAAATACAAACAATGGCTTAAAAGCCAGTTTCTCAAATAATATGCACATTTTTTCTTGATTAACACACTAATAGGTTGTTAAAAACCAAAGTCGCATAAACTGAGAAAATTCTGATAAAAGACATTTGGTCTTATTCATTTATTTATTTATTTAATCCCAGCATTTGGTAATCAAAGAAATGTTCATTAGAACTAAATATCTAAAATGTTTTAAGTTCTTTAAGCTCTTTATCACACCACCTCTGGACATTTAGCAAGCCACTGTCACTGGTAAATGGTGATTGACTGATATTACTCATCGAGACCGATACTGGCCAATATTGAGGTTTGAATGATGTATCGGCCCAGACGAGTACTGTGGCATTCTAACCAATCACTGAACAGGCTTTAATTTAGTGTTTATGTCTTTACATGTTAACTCTTTAGGATGTGACTCTGCTAAAAGAGTTTCTCCTTCTAAGAAATGCTGCTTATTTCAAAGTAACGCTTCCAACATTCAGAGAACATGTATATTTATGCCTGATGCGATTCACTGCGTGCTTGATCCAGCAGCAAAGGACACAAAACGAAGCGCGGGCGCACGACACACCCATGAGCTCAGAAGCTTCGGTGTTTACATGTGTCTGTTTGCTTGTATGTGAATGCCACAGATGTGAGGCAGTGCCGGAGAATTCCTCTTTGTACGATGGTTATTGTTGCAAACATCTTTTGTCTTAAAACAACCAGCACAGGCACAGGGTGTAACTCTGTTGCAATTCAAAGAAGGGCCTGTTTCCAGAATAGCTGGCCTTCGCATGAGAACCGGGGGATTCCCCACATGCAATTCATTTAGTCTCTGTCCAGTATCATCTCTAAACTATTCCTTGTGCGATTTCCTGCTACCTCTGACATGTCAAACAAAAAAAGTTTAAAAGAAAAAACTCCAGAAAGACTAAAATCAAGTGAACTGCTTATAAAATAACCTTTTAAACCCATAACAAGAATCTCTATATTGACATTAAAAGTCAATAAATCCTGATTATGGTAAATTGCTCAATTTCTGATACAGGATTGTTACTTTTATGCCAAGTGAGTCTAAGTTGGATAAGCACAGATCAGGTCACAGCATTAAAAAAACCTGTCTAATAGTGTATAGGTCCCGTTCCTAATCTTAAGACAATGTCATGTGTTTCAAGTGAGTACCTTGCCCCATCACTACAGGGTATCCTTGTCTTTTTAACGTCTCTACATCCACTTTTATTCGCGACTGGTATTAAACTTTTCACTAAAATGAAATAAAAGCTGGACTCTCTGACTTGATGGGGACAAACAATAAAATACATGGTTTTATAATGGTTTTATGTTTTCACATGATGTCATCTTTGAACCACAGATAGGACCATTTCAGTCCTGCCAAACTTCTCTGACTCTCTTTGTCACTTTGAATGCAAACCTGCAATATCATGATTGAAAAAGTGGCCATGAAGCATATCCAATGCAAAATGTCATTTTTCGTCTTCCATGCGTCACACGCTTACAGCTGTTGATCTCATATAGAGATCGACACAGCGCACCACTGTAGCAGATTTCATGCACCATCAGGATCATACATCAGTTTCCTTCATCCCTGCAGACCAATATATGTGCACCTCCCACTGCAGTGTATCAGAAATCACAGGCAACGCTTCTCAACACATTTCCTTAATGCCAAAAATAAACTTCTGCTGTTTAACTAGCAGTTCTGACTGATAAGCCTATCTCTCCCGTATTTTATGCCCCCTCCTACACTCAAGCACCATCAGCAATGACTCTGATTGTCATCGTGTACTTTCCCCTGCTGGGACTAAATGAGCAGCAGCTCACTGACGCCACTTGTGTTCCTCTAAGGAGCACATGTGCAACAGAAACAAGTCGCTGCAGTAGCGTTTTATTGATTAATAGACGCGTAAATAAAACCGAACCCAGTGGAAGAGGAGCCCACATCCACACATGCACCAGCGACGTCCATATTTCTGCACACATTCTTGCCCTACAGCTTCTCTCCACTTGCCGCCCTAACCAAATGCCTCCAATGTGTGTGTTTTGTTTTTGTTGGGTTTTTTTACACACGCGGGTAAGCTCGTGTATTTCCGTCTACCTTGACTGCTTGTAAATTCCGCGTTCCGTTGTTTAACAAGTCCGATCAGGCAAATCTGCCTTCCGAGCGCCCGGCAAGTCAAACTCCCGGGGCGAACTTTACTCATAAACCTCATTCCAGAAATAAATGAAGAAAAAAAATGTGTAAACCCGCTTAACTCTATAATAAACAAATACATAAATAAATAAATAAACCAGCAGCAATGCTCCTATAACATTTCTTAATCACCTGCAGCAGCTCTGCTGTCAAATGCCTTGTTTCCCTCGACTTTTTGTGACTGTTATTATTATTTACTTATTTATTTTGCAATACTCCAAATACTGTGCACAGATTGTGGTGTGTGTGTGTTTGTGTATGTTTTCTTTCAGCCTTGCAACAATATTCAGAGTGTGCATGTGACGCTGAGCTGTGAATTTGAACGCACATTGGATCTGCTTCTTGGAAGTTCCGAGCCCAGCGAGGACCTCTCACGAGAGGCTTTCTGGTAAATCGGGCCAACACAGGAACCACATGTGGCTCCAAATACAAACAAACAAAAGACGGGGAAAAGGTTAAAGTGAGTGGAAACCAGCTCTCACCTGTGATATCGACATATTCAGGTAGACAAAGAGTCCCGTGGTCGAAGCAATCTGCAACACTACCACCACTATCACCACCATAGCCACCCACATCTTGGACGGCGTTTCCCGGCGCGCTGCCGCGGTCGGCCCGCCTGCCGGGACCATCATGTAGGTGGTTGATTCGCTGCTCACCGATCTGAAATAATCCTGTTGCTGTGCGCTCGGAGTGGCCATGGCATTCCCGACGCATGAGTGAACCATTAAAACCAAGAGAGCAGCGAAACGACAATAGCCTCCACAGACCTGAGCGACTGACCGAAAATTAGAGCAAAATTAGATTTCCATGAGACGGCAGCTGCCAGCGCAGCTTCTCACTCGGAGCTCAGCCCAGCGGGAGACGGAAAGGGAGGACAAGAGAGGAGAGGAGCGCGGGCAAGAGAGGAGAAAGACCTGAAAGTTAAAGTTCGGATGTGTCCATGTCCGCTCAGCGCTCAGCTGCCGTTTAAAGCGGGGCTGGAGCCGCAAAAGGAGGCAGAGAGCACAGCGGAGAGGGGCTGGTTTAACCTCTTCATCACCCTGGAGCTGTGGAGGAATTCGCTCTCTCTCTCGCTCTCTCTCCCATGCACTGTTCTTTCAGTTTCAGCGCGGACTCTGCTGCCAAATGTTTCAAAAACAAACTAAAACAGAGAGACTAACTTCAACTTCAAGGGATCATTATTTCCTTAAATTTACTGTTTCTTACTGATTTTTTTTTTTTTAAAAATCTACCTTTTCACATTCACACACGCCCACATCATTTTTAATGATCTGTGGTGTCCCTATGTAACATGTACTGTGTGCAGGTCTAGGCTCCTGGGGGACTCCCATGATGCATTCTTCTTCAGTCACCTTTTTTCACTCACTATGTGTTTATATACCTCTGCATTTAATCATTAGTTATTATTAATCTCTGGCTCTCTTCCACAGCATGTTTTTGTCTTCCTCCCTTAATCCTAACCAGTCGTGGTAGATGGACGCTCCTTCCTGAGTGTGGTACTGCTGGAGGTTTCTTCCTGTTAAAAGTGAGTTTTTCCAATCCACCATTGCCAAAGCTTTGCTCATAGGTGGGCAAATGATCGTAGGGGTTTTCTCTGTTTTCTTTACATTATTGTAGGGCCTTTATGTTGTTGTGATTTTGGGGCTGTATAAATAAAATGTGAATTGAATACTGTGTCTAATGATGTAACAGAAGAATACAAGATGTTTACACTGATGTCCTTCAGTATGCTATACAAGGTGACAGATGATAGATAACTCAACCTGTGGCTGGTACATGTAAGTAGCTTCCTGTTTCACCTAGAGCTGCGGTCCCCAACCCCCGGGCCTCGGACCGGTACCGGTCCGTGAGTCGTTTGGTACCGGGCCGCGAGAGTTGAGGCTCAGGTGTGAAATGTATGGTTTTCAGGGTTTTCAGCGTTATTTTGTTATCGTTTTTATCGTTAACTCGGTTTTCCTGGGTCTTTTCACGTATGTTATGAATAAATCTTCTTTTTTCGGTACCGGTACTAGTTTTATTTTGTTGTATTTTTTCGCGACACCTTAAAGGTCGGTCCGTGAAAATATTGTCGGGCATAAACCGGTCCGTGGCGCAAAAAAGGTTGGAGACCGCTGATCTAGAGGACCAGGACACCTGCTAATACAATGCTGAAGGCCATAAATAAATAAATAAAAAGTTTTTGGACATATCAACAAACGGGTCAGCTGGGTTAGTAACCTGCACTCAAACTGTATGGCGTGCACTGCACACAGACACAGACAGCTGCTTAATGGTGTTGGCTACAGCTGAATCCACATCCACACAACTGAAGCAACATGACAACATAATAACACATGAGGTAATAATAACAACAACAATAATTATTATTATTAGCATTGTCATCCTACAATCAATAAATAAATCAGACATGAATAATAATTCTTTATTTTATTATATTCCACTGTATTGTAAATGATAGTTGACATTATCTTGTTATGTAGTTTAAGTTGCGTTTCTTATCATTTCTCTGCGTTAGCTGCCTGCTGGTTTGGTTGTTCCTGGTTTGATGAGGAGGAGGCGGTAGGCGAAGCTGCTTAAAGTTCAGATGTGAATTTGCAAAGTTGATTTAAACCACCTGTCACAGATTGAGGTGTGTTGCACTGGGTTTGGTTATTGTTCCTCCACTATGCATTTTAAATATCCTGTCTACTGGTGCAAGAGTGAGTTTGAGTAATGCTGTTTTTAATTGACTTTTGGTGTGATGCGATTCATGTCTTTAAATAGCTTAAAATTATATCAAAAATTGTATTTTTAATATAATTTCAAAGTAACACAAAACACACTTTTTGGCCTGTGCATTTTTACCTGTGTGTGCTTTGACTGTGTGTAAAGTACAACTAAAACAACACATTTCAACTCATCAAAAGTGGATCACAAATGGTGTGCTGTGAGGAAAGGTGTGCCCTGGTCTTTTGTTATGAAGATCCTGTGATTAAAAAAAACATTTTGACAGCAATGGGGAGATTGATGATCAGAACACATTATTTTTGCCGTGTGCAGCAAACCACAAAAACCACTGGTGGACTGGTGACTCATCTCCGAAAGATTTTTTAAAAAAGAAGGCTGTCAATAGGAGCTCCTGCAAAAGTCTACCTGCCTTTTGGCTTCAGCTGGATTGTTTTGTGTTAATGCCAACACCGTGTCAAAAGCTTAAGAGGTACTTAGGCAACAAACATCTCTTCTGAAAGTAAGTAGGATTACTTCTATAGAGTGAGTATAGAGTTAGCCAGATTCTATAAAAAGGCAGTGAAAGGAGTCTGAGTGCCATAGTCTATTAAAAAAATCACAACAAAAGACTTGTTAAGATTACTGTGGAAGCTTGTTTCCATAACTGCAAAAATAAAAAATAAAGATTATATCTATATATATTTTATGTTCTTGCTGTTGTGGAAACAAGCATCCATGTGTACTCCACATATTTACCAATCCATTTTGATTTATTAACTCAAACATATGAGAAATAACTTGAAATTTCAAAAACAACTTGAACTATAAGCAACATAAACACGATTCCATAGCTTATAAGCAGGGCACAAAACAGAAAAATCAGCATGCAGACTAGATGAGCTGGAAATCAAACTATTAACCTTCCAATAAATAAATAACCTGCTGTACATCCTGAGTCACAACCTAGCAGAGAACTACCAGCTGTAGCCTGCTGTGTCAGCATCCATCTGTCATTAAAAACTGTCACACTTTCATTCGTGCAAGACATTTAATTCAGTTCAAATCAGTTTTATTTATTTAGTGCAAAATCACAACAATAGTCACCTTAAGCACCTTATATTGTAGGGTTTTTACCTTACAATATACAAAACAATACAAAGAAAACCCCAACAATCAAAACACTGTGTCATGGGCCTGAGTCTGGGAACCCAGAGCTCATGTGTTTTTTGGACTTGCTTATATTTTTGATGGCAGGTGTGTGCATATTGTGCTGATGTCCCCGTGTCCCTGCTGCAGGTGTGCGTGCTGGTGTATCCGGTAGACCGGTTTACAAGCACCATCAGGCCCGGCGAGTGTACCCTTCCAGGTGGCTGGCCACACCCAAGGATGATGACACACACTTTCAGCTGGTCAGCCTCATCGGGGGGAGCTACTTAGCAGTGTGGACGCTGGATCGTTGCGTGAGAGTTCCCGTCAGTTTCCCGGCAAGTCAGTCTGAGTGTAAGCTTGTCGCTGTGAGAGTGTTCGTACGTCTGCTTCTGTGATTTATCTCAGGAGGACTGCGAAAATGAGAGGGTAGCGAGCACGGGGTGAACGGTCACTAGGGAGAAGACACGGCACGAGAGTCGGGGAAGCACGGGGATTTATTGTTGTTGTATATAATTTACTTCACTGTAAATAAACTCACAGCTTTCATCACACAAAGTCTGTTTGGGTCCTACTTCCCCACATCCCCACGGTCTGCCATCGCAGTCCGTGACACCATGAGCAAGGTATTGGCAACAGTGGGAAGGAAAAGCTCCCTTTTAACAGGAAGAAACCTCCAGAAGAACTAGGATTGGGAGGGGCTTCCATCCGTCTCAACTGGTTGAGTGTGAGGAAGACTTGACAAAGATGCTGTGGAAGAGAGCCAGACATTAATATATACTAGTATTTAAATGCAGAGCAGCACAAAAATGCAGTGACATTCAACACAGGATCTTGTTGCCTTAAATACGCAGTCTTTCTAATGATCTCATGAAGGTTCTCTGCTTGTTGAGATCTGGAAAGACCAATCAGATTGCTGTTTACAAAAACCTTTCAATAATCACACACACACAACTGAATCTTGTGGTTCCAACTTCTCAAACCTGAATTTTTGCCCATTACTTAGTCTTCACTAATAAATATGCTGAAACAGATTGATGAAATAATGTTTTTCCTTTTCTGTCTTGTAATCTTTGTATTCTCTGAGTGGCTGTCTGAGCCACATTTGTGTGCATGTCTGTGGTCTGTTCTAAATCTTTACCCTGTCTGAGAGCAAATATTTACCCAACGCCCCCCAGTTTATCTGTGCAGCCACAATTATATATTTTAACATCAGTTTCCAAAAACATCACAAAGCAGCGTCTGGGTCTTTTCAGAGATGTGACCTTTGGGGATGATTTTATTAGGGTCTGCAGTCAAAATGTTGCATAAAGACTCCATCCTGCTTTAAATCACCAATGTCTTGGTTGTCTTATTGTCTTTGGAAATAAAATCATGATTTAGTGCATATCTAAAGCTTTAGTGGACAGTCAGAAACAGTGTTTGCAGTTCAGCTCTAAACAACGCCCTTTGCACACTGCCACAAACAGCTGTGTGTGTCTGTTCAGCATCAGAGCTGTTTATCAATGATGGGAGGCAATGAGTTGACAAAGGAGGCAACCTTGGGTTGCTGCCAGTTGGAGAGCAACACTTCTGTTTTTAAAACTTTAGTCTGAAGAAAAACTGAAACATTTTCAGGACTGGCCTCCGAGGATGTTTAAACCAGAGAAACCAGAGTCGGAGGCACTTCCCCCTGTGTTTCGTTCTTCTTTCAGTTTTGTTGCATTGAAGAATAGGTGATACTTTTATGCGTGAAACTCTGTAGCAGTACAATCTGAGAGTGTTTACTGCTCTCAATGCCACGTTTTCTGGGAAAAGCCTTTTGAAGATTGGAAGTTGTTGTGGTGTGATACAGAAGTGCCAGAGGTTTTAGAACCAGATGTAAAAGCTATTCATTCCAACTGGGACATCTTGCTGGGACTTGAAAATCTCAGTGTCCAAGAAGACTGTGATGTACTCTGCAGGTGAGACCTAATCAAATTTGGAATGAAAGAAATAAAAACACAGATGGTGAAAGAAGAGCCAGATTCTTTCCATGTCCACAAAAATGGTTGTTATGATGGAGGGGACACTGTTTTGGGTTTAAAAGTTAACCCCTGGTGGGCTGATTCTGCCACCACTGTGGGAGGTGTCTTTGACTGGATGATGTTTCAGCACTGCAAGGTCATGGGTTTGACCCCACATGTAATACACAGCACCTGCACTGATACACATGCAAGTCTCGGACAAGTTGTAAGTGTTGAGATGTGCAAGTGATTCAGCCTGGAAACAA